CTAGACTTTAACTGGTCAAGGCCCAAATGAAGATAACGGCAATGAAAAGAGAATTTTTCCTACCAGCATTATGAAGAAAGTTTGTAAAATTATGAGACAAATGATTTGAAAAGTTTGAAACTTATGTGATGTAACAGATAATAGCTATCTCACTCATGGCTATATATAGTCTATACTTTAGAATCAGCTCCTCTATGAGAATACAGCATGTTCTTAATTAGCTAACTTGTCAGGCACCAAGCAATGAAAACCTACCCAAGGGTATATCTCCAGCTATTATTTAGCAATGAAGTGGGAGTTAGGAGGTCTGACTGTGGTTCAGACTTTAGAAGGGACTCTTTTCTTCTAGTTGGGATTAAATAAACCAACCCTTCCTGAACTGTGTTCTATGAAATACTAATCCCCAAGATGCTCTTGGGGAAAAGGTTCCACAATTAAGCATGTTTTTAAATATCAAAACTATATTTTACTTGGAGATCATACAACTTACTGGCATTGCAATGTTCTGTTTTACACAGAACATGGATATATACCTCAGGACTAAGGGCTTATTACTAAAAGACTAAATTAGACACTTTTAAGCTCCTAGATAAATAATAATCTGTGGTTACAGAATATGGACAATGATTTAAATTAAGACAATAAAACAAAGAATTTTAATAAAAAACACAAAAGGGGAAAAGATAATTAGAAGTAAGTGCTAGCCAAATGAGAGTGCAATGAGATAGGGGAACTTGCTGTGAGGAGAAGTTTCCACACAGGCAGCTTACAATACAAACCCAGTACAGGACTCTGAAAGCCAAGAACCATCAATGGAACCTTCTCTTTAGTGTTATGGTCACCTGACCCTGCTGAAGAAAAAGATGATTGCGTCCATACAGTAGCCTAGACTTACAATTTTAGATTTAGAATGGTGCTTGCATTCCTTTTAGGAATTCTAACTCCAGGAGGAAAAACACAAGATCAAAAAGACCTTTCTTGATTCACTGAGTGCCTTTAGCTGAACTAGTTGCTGGGATAAGTCAGAAATAAAAATTCCTTAGACAATGGTTAAAATGAACTTGCTCCCTGAGTTCTTGGCAAACACTGATAGCCTTAAGAAATACTTATTCTTATTCAGAAACTAAGTGCGTGAAGTTTAAGTGCTATAGCCACTGGAAGAAGATTGCAAACTATCTAAGTTATAACAATTTTTATGTCAGTTTCCCAAAGCAGTCTCATATCTCTTGACTGATTAGATCCTCATGAAAGTATTTTTTTCTAGTATTTTACAGATGAGAAATGTCACCACCACTACCGTTATCATCAACAATAACAAGAACAACATGAGAGACATTGTGCTAGGTGTTTTATCTACATTGTCTTGTTTAGTCTTCATAGCAATTCTGTGAGTTAGGCACACATTGTAATTTCTATTATACAGTCAAGAGTGCAGATGGCAGAGCAAATATTGAATGGCACATCTTGGGTTTAAACTCAAGTCTCAGATTCTAGATGCTATATTCTACCACTTCTGACTTGTCAGTACCAGTTAAAGGATCATCTAAAAATCTACCACTGAACTGCCAAGCTCTTGACTCTATTTTTCTAGCTTAGTACTCTCTCTCTCTATGATGTTATGTTGTTCCAGGCTGCCTATACCCTATTTAAGGCATTAATATTTAACTTATTTCCTCAGTTACAGTCTAAATCAGATGTGGACAATATATAGCTGTGGGCCAACTCTGATCTGCCCCATGATTTTTATGGCCCATGAACTAAAAGTATTTTCCATGTTTTTATATGGCTTAAAAAATCAAAAGAATAATTTTTTGTGATATGAAAATTATATGAAATCCAAAATTCAGTGTCCACGAATAAAGATTTGTTGGAGCACACCCATTCTTTGTCCTTTATGTGTTGTCTATAGCTGCTTTCATGCTGCTACTGTGATAGAGTTGAGTAGTTACAAAAGACACTGTGTGTGGCCTAAAAAGTTGACTTTCCTATAAACTCTCAAGGACAACTTTTTTCCCCCAGAAGAAGGAGTCAGAGGACATACACTGTATACAACATACAGAGGACTATGGACAAGATTTTAGTTTGGTTCCTAGTTTTACCACCTCGGAACTACAGAGTTGATTCTGCCTAAGTTAATCAACTTTTCTGTGCTTTGTTTGCCTCATTTGAAAAAGCAGAGCAATAGTACCAAAATTGCAGTTCTGTTGTCAAGTTTAAATGAAATACTATGTATAAAGCATAAAGCAAATAGTAGGAGCCATTGGGCAACCTGTCTACTGGTGGTGTTTCTGTGATCTTTTGGTGTTTGTAGCAGCATGGGCAGATCATAGGGTATTAGCAATCTTTGGTGATGACTGGGAGATATATGAAATAAAATGAAACTGCTTCGAAGAGGACAGAATGGTAGGAATAAAATGGTATGTGGTAAAATGTGGCAGTTGTTTTCTTCCAGGTGAACCTGAGTAACAGTGAACCTTTTCCATGTTTATGGATGAAGCAATTGCAGTCAATGAAGCCCAGCTAGTTCATCTACCTATAACTGATGTGATTATTATTGAAGTCAATATCCAAACATGGAACACCTCAAGATGAATTAGAAATACTTAGTTGAACAGGTCATTCCACCTCTCTCCCACCAATATTTCAGATAGCCCTGATCTAATCCTTTGAAGGAAGAAAACATAATTTCTTTTTATACTAACATATGTCTGAGTGTTCATGCAGCATTTTGTCTGCTTTAGTGATTAAAACACTGAAAAAATATCCTCCAGTAGCTTTCCTATTTTTTCTGACCACCAAAGCAACATTTATCTTCTTTTCCTTGATACACCTTGCAAAGAAGATTGTAAAAGCAAATTTGTAGGATGATCCTATGCAAGTCCTACTAATGAGTGTGCAGAGAAAAGTTTCCCAAGATTAGGTATCTGGGAGAACTTTAGACCCCGCCGCTTCCAAACAGTCATGCTCATTCTTTGGTTAGGAGAAAATAACCAATAATCAGCAAGTACTTTCTTTTCCTTTCCTAGTTTTTATTCAACTTTGTCCCCTGTTGTACACTTCTAAGTAATGGTTGACCTACGGGCAACTTTTGCCAAGAGCATAGAATTTTGTTTCTGGTGCTCTATCCAACATACACTCTCCCCAGTCTCTTTTCATAAAATCTCAATGCCTCATGCTCTCTTTCCTCAGTTGCAAAAAGCTCTTGGAAAGACATGTATTCTAGTCATTTATATATTAGTACAATTAAAAAAAATCATACACCTGTTTCTTCCACACTCATCTACATACATAAACTGCCTGGGAGTTTGGAGTATGGAAGTGGGTCTTTCCCTCCCTTCCTCCAGCTTTTTCTTCTTTCCTTCTTCTCTCTCCTTTTATTTTTTAGCTAATGTTTTCTATGCAGACTAGGAAAAAGTCTCTTCCTGTAAAGAGATATTGGATAGCAAGCAGACAGGCTAGTATAGAAAGGGTTTTAGGGGATAGGTGAGTATCATACTAACGTTAAATCTTCTTAAGGGGTGTTTGCTATAGCAATCGGATGGCACTGCTTGGCCCACCAGGAAACACAGGAAGAAGTTGAGCAGGTCTGGGAGAAGTATAAATAACAAACGTTGTTATGTTTACAACAATCCAAATAAGCAACTTGTATCAAATTGCTTTAGAAATGTGTCTCAGAAGGGCCAATTACTCAGTAATTGCTCAAAGTACTTAGGAGCAAGTGACTTCTTATAGGAGCTCAGGTCCAAGGCCTTCTCCTGTGTTTAGAATGACCTAATAAGTCAGACTGTCACCTTTGTGCATAGGCACATTCTTCAGCATAATCAGGAATAACTGTCTCATGTGAGGCAGTATAGCCAAAACACAGAGATGGACAGTTTATATTCCCCATCCCTGCAACTGTTTCTGGATAGGCACTGAACACTAGAGATGTCAAGGGGAAAGTGGCAACTGGACAATCAAGTTGCAACCATTTGTTCCTGAGCAAAAACATGAAATGCAACAGCAACATGTTTGAGTATTGATGTGGCAATTGATGAACTGAAAGGATAGCCTTGTTCTGCAATGAAGTAAAGCTCCTTGATAACTTTAGTAGACAAAAGCTGAAACGAGCTTCCATCTATAATAGTGGCTTCTACTTAAAATTCTTGGAATAAAAAACCAAGGTTGTCTACTTGCAGTTCTCAGAGGAAATTCTAAGTGGACAAACAGCCCTGCCTTGATGTGCTCTCAGGCAGTCACAGGGACTCAGGGAAAGAACTGAGTGGAAAGACCTGATTTTCAGTTATGGTGATGCCTCAATTCACTGTGAGACCAAATTCCAAATTTGCAAAACGAAGACATAGAGTGATATGATATTCAGGTTCTTGACCAACCGTATTTCCTGTTAAAATACTTCAGTAAAAATCTAAAGTCGGCATCATAGTTTTCCAGATGTACAAAAGATTATACTGTATTTCTCCCCTCCCTCTCTCTTCTTTCTTCCTTTAGTCTTCCCCTACCCCTCTTTTCTTTTTCCCAGGAAGCACAATCCCAGTTCAGGAACTATTTTCTGGTTCTTTCAAAGCCACAGTGATTCAGATATCTTGAATGCAATGTCCTTAGGAGATACACATTGTGTATTTCACTTACTTCAGCTGGCTTTCTGCCTTCAGTTCTAGGTCTCCTAAATTTTCTGCTTTGCTTTTGTTTATTGCTTTTCTGGTTCCCCTAAAGAGAGTATAGAATCTTGGAGCAAATACTTCCGAATGACTAAAATCCCTTCCCTTTGCCTTTGGATTTGGGTTTTCACACTTCCCTTCATTGAAAAATGCTGATACGAACTCACCTAAGATCCTTGGAAAGCCACAGGGCAGGAATGTTGGGCTGGGGGAGTTTGTTTTATTCAAGCCTTGGTCAAGGCAGAAATATTTCAGCCCAACAGATATCAGCCTAATGTGAAAATAATAATAGTTCTTAATGCAGAAATGCCAGCCCCGCAGCTGTTCTGCTCTGATACTCACAGTTCAACCGCATTCCGGGGGAGGTCGGAGGGAATCTCTGTCACTTTGCTGTCCTGGCAGAGGAAAACCCGGTTAGAGCAGTGACAGAGCCGATGCTGACATCCAGATCCAAAGCTTAGGAGTGCCAGCAAAGAGACCATGAGCAAGGCCATGCTTATTTATCCATCCACCTCCACAGATTTCAGAGACTCCACGGAGTGCCCTTATGAGAGGAGATCCGCTTGAGAACTAGCAGGGTCACATGACCCACCAAGTGCTGCTCCCCTCCCCCTTTTTTGGTCATTTCCAGGACAGTAAAATTAATGTGCCAGCAGTGATTTCAGGGGTAAGATAATCTACTCTATCCTTCAAGGTTGGGTTTCTTAATCCTGACCCAAGGAAGACAGCAATAGAACCTTGATGTATGTTTGGACTATTTCATTGCTGGTTACCATTCTCTTCTCAATAGAATGAAGACTGACTTCTTGCCCCAAAAGGCACAACCATGATACATCACTAAGAAAGGTACTAATAAGAGAAGGGATGACACCTATTTTCAGTCTTCATTGTCACCTTATTCTGACCCACCTGATGCAAAAACAAGACCTTCTTAACTGAAGTCAGTGAGTCTCTCTTACAGCAAATAATAACCAAAAAAAAAAAAGGAATTACTCAGATATAGGCAGATATAGGTGAGCAAGCTCTTGGTAAATCTCCACAGGTGAGGGACACTTCTGATGGGTCATTTGCAGAGATAATTGACCTATCTTAGTGATCTAAGGAATGGCTATGTTCTGGTAGGATTTGGCAAATTCTATCATGTACACAACTTTACACATATCCTTTGTGGCTTCTCTCATTTCCAGGCTCTGAAGATTGTCTTTCCTTTTGGCAGTTGGCACAAATGAACTTATTAAATCTATACTTGTTACTTAGTTTTAAATGTTTCCTGTAGGTGACAACCTTGACACTTGCATTGGCATTCCCAATCTCCTTGATAGTGACGGATCTGAGCAATGTGTGGGAACACTTTTAGTAAAGTGGCTTTCTACTTTCAACTCTAGAATCTATGAAGGTTAAAAAGTATAAAATTCTCTAAGCTCATTCCTACAACTTATTACTTTCCATAATTAGTTTCAACACCATCTTTAAATAGCTCCATAAAGTTAAGTCTCATAAAAATGCTAAACATATATATCTATCTAACCCTCCTTCCATGTTCCCTGCCTCACCATGGAAAAATGACATGTAATTAATGTATTAATAATCAAGATGAAACAGAAGCAATTGATTTGGGACAAGTAAATTTGGGAGGGAAGTTGCTTCCTAGTATTTCCTAGGAGCAACTGACTCATTCTAATTCTGGGATTGGAAGATAGGGAAGTATCAACATGAGTTCCATATTGTTAAACAATTTAGGTTAACATTAAGAGTTAAACTAATTCACTCAACAATTGATCCAAGGAATCATAGTCTTTCAGATGTATCAACCAAATAATGCTTAAGTGTACTTTAAAATATTCATATTTATTTGAGAGTTATTTCTTGTGCTTGAATAACTCTAATGACAAGAAACTTATTATCAGTTGGTCCTCCCACTCATCCCTCCATCCAACAAACCCCACTTGGATTTTCGAAATCAATTCTAGTAAGTCTTTGTATAATGAGCTGAATCTTTTTAAAATTGAGATTTATTTCAAAGGTTATGTCATATTCACAATTTGGAGATAGCATATGTAATAGAAATATAATTATAAGCATGAAAATAAACTGTTGTGGACTAAAGATAAGGGATGTAACTAATTTGTTGCATCTACTTAGTGGTTTCTCCCTTATTTCCTCTTATGTCCTATGCTCAGAGATGACAATTTATCTGAATTTTCATCTATTTTTCTTTTTGTTTTCAAAATTAATTTTATCATTAATATATGTATTTCCAAACAGCATATTACTTAATTTTTACTTGTTTTTAGATTTCAGAAAAGTTGCATTGCTCTTTAAGTAGTACTTTTGCAATCGCCATTTTACACTATCCTGACTTTCATTTGGTTTTTGCTTTTTGAGACAGGGTCTTACTTTGTAGCCTATGCTGGCTTCCCTTTTGCCTCAGCCTCTCAAGTTGTGATTGTACACATGCACCACTGCTCACAGCCTAGAGTCAGCCATGTCTTTTTATCTAGCCACAGTTATGAATTTTCATTACTGTATGATCATTATTATTACATTTTGATGTTTTCATTCTCTTGCAATGTTTCTTTATTTGAAGGTCATGAAAATACTCTGTTTTCTTCTAACATTTTTGTATTTTTCTCTGTAAAGCTAATCTTTAATCTATTTGGTATTGGTATTTATGTATGGTATGAGTCAGGGACTCAATTTCAGCTTTTATCTAATGGCATAACGGATCAACAATTGTTCCAGGACCATTATTGAACAGACTTTCTTTTCTCCCATATTTTATAAATCTGCCTTCTTTTATCTCAAGTAACTGTTTTATGGGTGCATATCTAAGCATTTTTATATTCCATTGTCATTTTTTTATGTACACTGCACAAACACTATACTGTCTTAATTACTAGAATTTTAAAGTGCATTTTTGTAGAAAAAAAGAAAATAACTTTAACTTCTTTTTTATTGATATATTTTAACTGTACAAAGGGGCTTTATTTGATATTTCCATAAATGTATATAATGTACTTTGATCAAGTTAACTTATTTTTATAGGAGCATTTAGCTTTCTTTTGACTTTTATGAAAGAATTTTAGAATAAGCTTATTAACACCTTGTAAGAAAACCTCTGATATACTCTTATATGTAATTAAAATTATATTGTCACCTTTAAGATATTGTTTTCCTATCCATGAATATAGTACCCAGCCATTTTAAAAGGCTTTCTTTGATGTATTTCAATAAAGTTTTATACTGTCATTCAGAACCTCTTAATATATTAAACTTATTTCTAACATATACATATATTATGGTATTATAAGTGATACTGATATTTAAAATCATATTTCGTGCTTGTTACATTGTAAAACTACAACTTATTTTGGAACATTATCTTTATGTCCAATTTTTTCATTATTATGCTAGGTGGGGGTATATTGTAGCATTTACAAAGGTTCTTACAATATATCAAATATATCATATTTGAATTCACCCCTCCACTGCTCTTTCATCCCCTCCTCTTCTCAACTCCAGGGACAGTCTCAACAGGTACCATTTTTTGCATTTATGTACTTTATTTGCACTGTATTGATTCTCCTACCACTTTCCCTGCCACCTCCCCCAAGTGACAATCCCTCCAACCACCTCCAGGCAGAACCTATTTCACCCTCCTGTTCTCTGATTTTGGAGAAGAAAGTGTATTAATGTGTTCCACACATTAAAGATAAGAAAAACATGGTGTTTTGATAGTTTGAGATGAAGATAGCTATACAGGAGTATCCTTGTGTTGTTTCCATGCATACATGTATGACAACCTACATTGGTCCATCTATACCAGTCCTCTTCACCACTCCCTAGTTCCCTTCCCATAGTGGCCTCAGGCAGTTTAAGATTACTATATTCATTCCTACACAGTGAGCATATGCACCACATTCAAGTTTTTGATTTCTTTCCCTTGCCCTATCCCTCTGTGTGCAGTTTCCCTTTAGTATGTGACCCATGTCCAGCAATATTACTGCATTTATTTTAGGTCTAATCCACATATGAGGAGCTTATGTGATTTTTTGGCCTTCTGAGACTGACTAACATAAGATGATGTTCTCCAGTTCCATCCATTCACCTGTGAATGACAAAATTTCATTCTTCTTTTGTGGCTGAGTAAAATTTCATTGTTTATAAATACACATTTTCTTAATTCATTCATCAGTAGTGGGGCAACCTTGGCTTTTTCCATAGCTTGTCTATTGTGAATATTGCTGCAATAAACATGGGTGTGCAGGTGCTTTCATAGTAACCTGACTCACATTCCTTCAGGTATACTCCTAGGAGTGGGATTGCTGGATTGTATGGCAGATCTTATTTTAGTATTTTTATTTTTTAAGGAACCTCCATATTGTTTTCTATTGTGGTTGTACTGACTTACATTCCGCCAGCAGTGTTCTCTTTTCCCCACATGCTCACCAATATTTGTTGTTGTTTATGTTTTTGATGGTTGCTAGTCTAATAGGAATGAGGTGGAATATTAGTGTGGTTTTGATTTGCATTTCCTTTATGGCCAGGGATGGTGAGCATTTTTCATGTGTTTTTTAGCCATTTGGATTTCTTCCTTTGACAAAGTTCTGTTTAGATCAGTTGCCCATTTCTCTCTTGGGTCACTGATTTTTGGGGAATTTAGTTTTTGAGCTCCTTGTATATTTTGGTTATCAGTCTCTTGTCTGATCTATAGCTAGCAAAGATTTTCTCCCATTCTGTGGGTGGCCTCTTCAGTTTAGAGATCATTTCTTTTGTTGTGCAGAAGCTTTTTAATTTCATGTAATGCTATTTGTTGATCCTTTCTCTTAGCTGCTGAGCCGCTTGAGTTCTACTAAGGAAGTCCTTGTCTATGCCTATTGCTTCCAGTGTATTCCCTGCTCTTTCCTATACTAACTTCAGGGATGCAGGTCTGATATTAAGGTCCTTTATCTACTTTGAGTTGATACTAAAACAGGATGATAGGCATGGATCTAGTTCCAGTTTTCTTAGCAACATTTGTTGAAGAGGCTGTCTTTTATCCACCATATATTTTTGGCAACTTTGTCAAAAATTAGGTGGGTATAGCTGTGTCCTCTTCTGTCCCATATCGATTTTTGTGCTAGTACCATGCTGTTTTTATTTCTATGGCTCTGTAGTATAGTTTGAAGTCCAGTATTGTGATACCTCCAGTGTTGCTGTTTTTGCTTAGTATTGCCTAGGCTATTTGTAGTCTTTTATGTTTCCAAATGAACTTTAGAGTTCATTTGGAATGATGGGAATTGTGTTGAACATGTAGATTGCTTTTGGTAATATAGCCATTTTTACTATGTTGATTCTGCCAATATATGAGCATGGGAACCTTTCCACTTTCTCTGGTCTTCTTCAATTTCTTTTCTCAGTGGTTTATAGTTCTCCTTGTAGAAGTCATTCACATTCTTTGTTAAGTTTATACCTCAGTATTTGATTTTTTTTGAAGCTATTGTAAATGGAATTA